GGCTTTGCTCCAGGTGTCCCTGGTCTGCTGGAGACGGTCCCCAGCAGACCAGGGGCACCCGGAGCAGCTTTTCTCGCCCCGGAGGTCAAGGTGGCGGGACCGCTGCGCTCTGGGCGGTCCCGCTGCCTGTGAGCTCCGGGGCGAGAAAGCCCCGTTCGTAAGTGGACTGGCCCCATTCGTAACTCGGGGACTGCCTGTATTTGCAAATTATACCATTTTTGGACACATATATGTAAGAAGGGTCTAAATCAATGCTTCCAACCAGTTGGAATGGGAAAAGAATCCTGGGTGTGGCTATGTTCACTCAGTTTGCCTAGACCTGCTAGGTATTCAACAGTTGTTATATAAATACAGTTCATGCTGGAATGGGAAAGAAATCCTGGGTGTGGTTATATAAATGCACTTCACCCAGGTTGCTTAGGCTTGCTTGATATTCAACTGTTAGAAAGGTTTTGCCCATTGTAACCAATTTGGCTGTTGTAGGGGTCACAAACTATGTTAACAGTAAATGCAGGAATTGTAAGATATGGCTACCAATGCTTGCAGTTATTGTAGGAATGCACAATGCAGAAAAGTCAGACTGTTAACTCAGTTAAAGGGAGAGACCCTGTCAGTATAAATACACTCAGATGAACAGAGGCTGAACTTTCAGAGACCTACAAATTAAGCTGGAGAGGAAGGTGAGTCAGCAGGCCGCATGCCCTCTAAGTGTGAGCTGTAATTCTGGTTCAGCCTGTTTCTCCCCACTGTTTCAATGACAGAGTTAAAAAAGGGCTCCATAAGGGGCCTTTTCTGTATGTAATTTTACTTCAGTGGGTGCCGGAATCTCTTGTGGCTGGACTGTACTTTGGGCTAAGAGCTGGAATTACTGAGAGCTGAAATCACTAGGTTTGGCCCAGAGCCAAATCCACCACAAACCAGCAGAAGATGCAATGGTGGCAGCAAGAGACGACCAATAAACAGGCATGAGGAGTAGCCAGCAGCACGGTGGCAGCGAGGGACGATGAATGGCTTCCAGAGCAGCGCCAGAGAGCAGCGAGCAGGTGGATGGCGGGTGACCAGCAGAGTAGGTGAAATGTCTCCTATTTCCCTCCACACACACACTCAAGATGGGAGGTGAACTCTGCAGATCACTTCTGAACTATGGGTCTGCCCTGACTGGGGTGGGGTGTAGAGATGGGTTGGACATGTGAAGGGGACGTTTACATTGCTGAACTTGAGAGCTTAAGAGGAAAAGGACATTGCCCAACCTACTTGAGCTGGGACATTTACTTGTGATTTTGGTTATGAACTCTGTGATGTTTTTCTATTAACTCTGTTTGTGGCATTTTCCCAAATCAATGCCACGTTACTTCTCTCCCTTTTTATTAAAAGTTTCTTTTCTGCACTCAGACTCTGTGTTTGCGAGTGGGGAAGCATTGCCTCTCAGAGACGCCCAGGGGTGGTATGTGACTTTACCAGGTTACTGGGTGGGAGTTTGAGCCTATTCTTTGATGGATGGAGAGGTACCCCTAGATATTGAACCCGGCCCTGGCTGCTTCTGGTGCTACCTGGCAGAAAGGCTACACATATTTTCAGAGTATGTGCCATTTCAGTGCTTCAGTTGTGTTGCTCTCAAAAGGCACAGATGCATGTGACCATGTACATTTAACTGTGTTATCCTCATGGAGCACAATTGTGTGGCTCATGGGGGTTTTTATTTCATCACTCACAGCAGCCAAGGAAATAAAAATGAGCTCACTACATCACAGGGGGCCCTAATGCTGATTTCTCCCTGCAGAGAGTGAAAACATCTCCACTGAAATCAATGGTGATACACCAGCACACAGTGGGTGTAAATGAGAGGAGAATCAGGCTCAAGGTTTCCATGCATATGTAGAGCTAACTCATAAAAGAGCATGCAGAATACATTATCTGAAATTTCAGCTGGTATGACTTACTCTTCTATGATCTTGTTAGTTCCAAGCCGTTCCATCAGATCTGAGAACTGTCGGTCTTCATCTTCATCATCAACGTTAGCAGAGTTCTCTTCCCACTTAGACTGATAGACATTTTCATTGTCAGACTCCTGCATTTCATTCATAGAGACCATTTGCCCAGACAAAAACTGACCTAAAATTTAAAAGACATACATAATTTTAAAAATTGGTTTATAGAGTACAGTAATTAGAAGTCATTTAAAGAAATAGCGATATTTATTAGTAGTCTCTTGCCATTGTGTCTACAGTCAGAGTTGGGATTGTGATTCTCAGCTCATGTTGACATACTCACACTAGCTGTCATTGAACTAGCACACTTAAAATAGTAGGGTGGCCAAGTTAGCATTGGCAGTGGCTGTAGTTGGAAGAGGGCCTAAAAGTTAAGGGCAGGTATTAGGGGTCTGGTATGAGGCCTGAGGCTTGGGCTAAAGTGGTCAAATCTTTGCTGATGTGAAGTAAAGTCAGGCTGTAAACAAAGGGCAGGCCCTGCTCACAAAATTTGGTAGGCACAGGGCTAATGCTACAAAAACCATATTCCTTAGAGAAGCTAGGCACAAAGCACTCACACATGCACTTTCCAGAAGGGTGGTACCAAAGCACCTTGATACCAGCACATTCCTCAAAAATAACAGGAATACACTGACCCATCCTAAAGATAAGGTCAGGATAATAGCATCACGAATAAAAATGTTTTGATCACACCAACATATACAAGACAATGGGGCCACACTAATACACCACTGAGTGATACCCTCAAATGTTGGGGTGAAACACAACTTGTTTGCATTGGTGTACAAAATGCATCTCAGAAGAAATAGCTTTGGTCAGCCTAGCAGGGAAAGGAAAGTCTGACTGAGTTGTATCCATTGTCACAAGCATACGTCTTAGGTCAGGTGTACATTAAAGGGGAAGATCAAATTAAGATACACAATGCCAACTATGTTAATTACGTAGCAGGAGTAATGTGCCTTACTTTCAGTTTCCCCGCTGTCCCCACAGTAGGAGGCTAATGGGAGCCAACGCTCCCATTGGCATCCCTTACTCCTTGTAGGAGCAGGAGAGGGAGCCCTCTGAGTTTGATTTAGCAGGTCTTTATTAGGCCCACAAAATTGAACTCCGGAAGATTGATCACAGCAGCATCAATCTTCCTCCTCTGAAGACATGGCGTAGTATCCTCATAGACTCTGCCAGGCGCTATTACCATGTTTTGCCAATAAACCTGGTCAGATATCTTCACTAAAAATCAAGTCTGTAGATTTATTGGGCAGTTTAATTGAGATCTGCTGTCTCCACTACCTGTGCAGAGCTGGGACAGCACGCTGAGGGTATGTCTACACTTGCCCCCTAGTTCGAACTAGGGAGGCAAATGAAACATACTGAAGTTGCTAATGAAGCGAGGGATTTAAATATCCTGCAATGAGGAGTAACAGTTAATTCGAGGGAAGACTACCACGTCTACACATGACAAGTTAAATCAGGTGACCGGCATTTTAAAATGGTGACCGGCTGCAAATATGCTAATCAAGTGTGGGATATTTAAATCCCATGCTTCATTAGCAACTTCGGTATGCTTCATTTCCTTCCCTAGTTTGAACTAGGGGGCAAGTGTAGACATACAGGCAGTCCCCGGGTTACGTACAAGATAGGGACGGTAGGTTTGTTCTTAAGTTGAATTTGTATGTAAGTCAGAACTGGCGTCCAGATTCAGCCGCTGTTGAAACTGACCAGCAGCGGCTGAATCGGACACGCCTG